ACAGACTAAACTCAGAACTACACACTGACAGATGGAACTTCCTCTTCAGTAAGTATATCAGTTCAGATGCCTGAAAGTGGAAAGTGTGAAAATGCAAGGGTAACCAAGGAAGAGGACGATCCAGAAAAAAATGTGGCTTAAACTTTGACACTCTACCTATCAAGTCTTAAATCACATTTAGTCTACCCAGGAGGAATGAGACAGTACTATATTTGAGCCTGTATCACTTCTCATAGAGATCTCTGGTTAGGATAACTGTTATTAAACTATAATGAATTATTCCATTTTGTGGTTTTGATTCTTGTAAGTAAAAGATATTGCTGCCTTTAAAAAAATCCTGGGCTCATGGATCTTCTCCAGATACACCTAAGGATAAGGACTGAATTTGGTCAGCTTAACCAATTTTTGTGGGTTAAAACTCTTGTCCCAGTTATCTATCCTCAGGAAGTATATCCTACCAAACAGCGCAAAAATAAGGATTATCAGGTCAAGTAGCCTTGACACATTTTAATAATATGGTATTAGGACGTGTGTGCCTTTAGGATCAATGATTTTGATTTAAGAATCAGCATGACTGAAGTTTGCTGGAGCCTGTGGGTCCATTTTAGTAAAATCCAGAATTATCAGATTCTTCCTCAAAGGAGGAGCATTTAGGCTATATATAGAATATAGTTACTTCAGAACTAGCAATTGCAACTAAAACTGCAGCAGTTCGATCAAACAGGGAGAGAAATGTTGTGATTACTTCAAGATATAAGAACTCAGCAAAGGTGGCTCAAGGCAGATAAAGTAAGATCAATGGCCACCAATGTCTCAATCCATTAGGAGATTACCATTTTCTCATTGAAATCCCTCCTAGGGGTTATAAAAACTCTACGAAGAATTTTACTCTTCCATTAAAGTGATGGAAACAAAACAAACAACAAAATCACCCAGTGCTGCTCAAGTTGGTGGTCATTACCTCATTTCAATTACTTCATCACTACGGGGAGGGGGGCATCACTTAAAACACTTTAACATAAGGTTTGTATCTTCTGATGGAAACCACACAGATTTGTTCTGCTAGCAGGTGGAAAGAATCATTGATTCTTTTGATCTAAACCCTTCACCAAGTTGTCCCTTATAAAAGCTACTGTGGAACTTGAGTGTTCTAACTTTGCAGTGGTTATCTTTATTTAAGTGACTGATAGCAAGTAAAAGAATAAAGGTTTTCTACGTAAAATTAAATAACATTACAAAGTGGGATGCCAAACTTTTTTGCTGCAGTCATTTCTAAACTAGTGCCATACCTTATAGTAAACAGGAAGGAAAGAGAGAAAGAAGAAAGGAAAAAGAAAGGGAAGAGAAGGGAAGGCCGGAAGCCAGGAACGAAAGAAGGAAGGGAAAAGGGAAGGAGGAAACTTCAAAAAGGGATAAGGTCTACTATGTTTTGGGTTTTAGTACTTAGTTGTTTAATTTTTTTTTTTTTTTTTTTGTACTAGGTGATTCACTCAAAAGGAAAACAGTTCCTTCATAGGCATCTTAAATAAGAAAAAAAAATTCTTGCAAAGGACACAATGCACTGCACTGACAGTTCTTTCTTTGTGCTGTTTGATTTCTGGAAAAGCTCATCTTAGTACTAAAAATGATCTATAGCAGTGCAGTGTTTTATCTGGTGATTGTACAACTGAGGGTAATGAAGTTCTGGCTGTTTATTTCTTTGTACACAAATTATCATATCTTAAGGGAACAATGATCAATTCTCTTAATTTCCCCTTTTCAAATTATGATTGTAGCACCTCTATTTCTTAACCCCTATTTAAAAAAATGAAAAATTCAGTCAATAATCCAGATGCTTCCAATCATCTTATGGATAAATTACTATGAAGATAAAGCATCTGAGTAAATGACAATTTGTCTATTACCCAGAATTATGAATCAAATATATACAACTCTCCTCTATAAACTTAGCAAGACCAATTTCCTTCATGAGAGCATTAAATGTTTACATTATTACAATCCAAAACAAGGGGTTAATGCTTCAGTGGTGTTGAACAGAGACAATTCTTTATTAAAATGCCCGTACAAGGAGTTGATCTGTTCTCGGATTTTCCACAGATTAGTTCTCAATTTAGAATCTTAGGTATTATTTAAATCAGACATCAAAGAGTGTTGATATTAACAGATCAAAAGAGGATGTTAGTCACTAGAAATCTGCTGTTGCTAATACAAATTTCACTTGGGTAACAAAAACAACATTGTAATATAAATGGAATGACTGCAGAGTGCCTTCTTACAGCCCAAGTCACAGGAACTAATCAATTTTCACTCATACATTTTAGTTACTTAACATACCCCTGACTAATTCCAAATTACACATCACAGTTTCTTAACAACTCATTTATACACATATATTAATGTAATCAGAGAGCAAATTCATAAATTATGCATTGCATGGAAGGCTCATAAAAGTGTGTGATTGTATAAAATAATATCAATTTCTAAGTCAATAACAAGGAACAGCAATCTTGTAGAAGACTTGAGATTTTAAATAAAGAAAAATATTCCTTTGGGCAAAGCTTAATCTTCCTTCAAATGTGATCAGGTTTTTGCTGATCTACCTCTTGGGGAAGTGCATGACCATCTATTTGATACGTAAAATATTAGGAAATTCATAAACGTGCTAGAAATATCAAATTTTTCTTTCTTTTTTCTAAGAGTTAATAATAACCCATAAAGTGCTTGCCTTTCCCCCCATTAATCTGATATCACCTTAAGAAAGGTGAACAGCTGCAAGTATTAAACTTCAGTATCACTTTGCAATTATTTACCACAACATACAACTTTGAAAATACTGAACTGATTTCTTCTATGCAAATAAATAAAGATTCTAACTAAATTTTCTGTTAGTAGCAGACACCTGTACCACGTAGGATAAATTTCTTTTATAAAGGATAAAACCACTAACCTAGCTAGCTAGCTACCTGCCTACCTACATACCCATCCCTATGTATGTATTTGTGTACTTTAGTTGGACACAATATCAAATGCTGTAAAATTAAATGTGGGGGATGGAAAGAATCCATCATTATTAGTAGAAATACACTGTTTTCCACAGTAATGAGCAACCATTCAAAGCACACTGACATAATGTATCTACTAATTCCTTCTGAACAATACGTCAAAGAAAAATTGCAAATTCATGTGGAACTCAGTACCCACCAGAAACCTCTTATGCTTGTTTCTCAGGATTCAGTGAGCTTTTTTGTAAGGCTGGATGCACTAACTACATACATCTGCACAGGCTATTATGTGCAACGATATCAATAAGCAAAAGTAAAGGAATCATAATTTTATTTATTAATGTGTTGGTTGCCTTCAACAAGCTTTAGCATAGCCACCTTTAAGGGAGCCAGGGGTGGGGAACAGAACTCTTCTGCAAGCACTTGTGTGAGGTCACTGTGTATTGGAAACAAGTTGTATGTTGACCAGGAAAGGAAAACCACCTTGGAAAACCAACTTAAAGGTGATAAAATATTTTCCTCTTTACGCCCAGAAAAATAACTGTTAGAACTTTCTGGATGAATAGGGGATTCATCAAGTCTATAAACACTCTTCCTTGCAGAGGCAATAATTCTTCGTTTGCTTTTTATGTATTTTACGCATAGCACTGCTCTTTCTCCAAATTGAATCTTACCTTTTTTTATTTCCCGAATAGTTACAAATCTGAATTTAGATAAGAAATTTCTCCCTTAGCAAATCAAATTACAGACAACAGAAACTTTCTTTCTGATTTGCATCTTATTTAAAGAACATGTATTCTGCTCTGATCATTCATTTTATGTTTCATATTATAATGAATATAGAAAACACATTTTCCAAAAGAGCAATATCCAAGAAAATATAAAAGTATAATTTATCAGAATCAAAGAGTTCTAAAATATTAAACACTGAACTTCAGTTTTAGTCTCTCACTTGATCTTCTAGATCTTAACATTAGACCTAATTTTTGCTAGAATTTTTAAAATCAGACCTAATTTTTGCTAGAAATTTTATTAATTTTTTAATCCAAATTTGATGCCCTGCCCCAAATGCTCAGAAGATGGAAATTCTGAAAATACGAATATACAATTGTTGATCTAAGTAGTTGAACTGAGTAGGACTGAACTGAAATATACACATAGGAAGTCTGTAAAGGCTCTGAAAACTCATAGCTACTTTCAGTGGGCCAAATGGAAAAGCCAACAAAATCACTACATTCGGTGACAAGGAAAACAGATTCCAGGTAAACTACTTACTTTCACATATGTACACAATCATTCCTCAAAAGAAGCAGCAGAAAGTCTTTTTTTATCTGTACCAAAGTTTTATTCTATCCACTTAATACGACAAGCTGTTTCCCAAGGATCAATTAGTGGGAGGAAAATAGAGAATAAATAAGTAAATAAATAAATTACAGATACAATGATAAGCGTTTTGGTGAAAAATACATTTGTCTGTTGAGTGCTAGGCAGAAGAGATTTGATTTGATTGATCATAAGAAAAAAGCCAGAGAACCACAGGAAATCCTATAAAAGAAACAGTGCTTTAAAGAAGTACTCCTGCAGCAGTGTGCAGGGTTATAGGAAAGCAGGGAGCACAGAGTGATGAGGATCATTTAAATCAGGGTAGATGACAGTGTGGCTGCTGCAGCTAGAGGCAATGGGAGTACTGAAGATGGGATGAATCCAAAGGGAAATCTGAGATTTAGTGACTCACTGGATATATGAAGCAAAGAGGATGAGAAGCAAAAGTGGTCTTCAGGGCTTTATACCCAGGGACCAAGAAAACGGTAGCATCAATGCCATTTAAGGAAACTTTTTAACAAAAAGATAATCAAAGAATTGCTTATTTCTATCGAAACCAGAACCACCTGATTTCTGAGTTTGTGCCTGATGGTCATAATTCAGAATTTCCTCCTATCCTTGCAGTGCCTCTGAGCATGTCTGCAATATTTAGGTGCGTGTTTGGAAAATGCTCACCAGTTTGCCACCAATGGTCTAGGACAGGTACTCTGAAGACCTTTTTGGACCATTCCAGGGTCTCCACGTCACATCGTTCTCCAGCCACAAATAATGTTTTGAACCTGAATATTAGAGAGAGAGTAAATTCAAATTATTCCTTGAAAATAAACTGAAACAATTTCATCTACCTTCTTTTAAACATTGTAGAATCTAATCACATTAATTCTGTCAGAGGAAAACACTGTAGAATGGTTGCAGAATGGTTAGAGGCATTATTTGTTTGGACGCGGTATAACTAAATGCATAGCACAGCACTGGAGAGAGATGCTTCAAAAGTAGAATTCACAGCTACAGCTTCTCAGTTCTGAGAAGAGCAACTGAGTTGATCTTTGTAATATATGTCATATTCACCTAATAATCAAAAATGAAAAACCTTTTTCCTCCTTGACATTATCTCTGCTAATTTTAGCTCCAAATTTGATTGCTGTATTCTACTTAAGTCTATACACAAAAATACACTCTGGAGTAACAGCTAAGGCAACAAACATGCTCATAAATATGATGCACTTGCTCCTTCTCATGAGTTACTTTGGTAAAGATTATTACGATTTCAACACATATTTCCCCTATTCCAAGGACATATTTAAGAAAGATTAGTGATTTAAAAAGAAATGCCATTGTGGCCTTCTAGGTTAAAAAGCCTCCTATCAAAAGGAATATATGATTACTAAGAGACGAAGAATCCTTTGTAGGGAACATCATGCCACAGTGTAGAAAGGATGAAATAGGAAAAACAGAATTGAGTTGACACTATTGGTGGTTCATTGAGAGAATGACTATTTTTTTCTTCTATTCTCAATGCCCCCATGGCCTGTCTGTCAAAGAGTCTGTTATACAGAGTGAAGTCAGAAAGAGAAAAAAAAATACCATATGCTAACACATACATATGGAATCTAAAAAAAAATAGGGTCTGAAGAACCTAGGGGCAGGACAGGAATAAAGACGCAGGTGTAGAGAATGGACCTGCTGACACGGGGAGGGGGAAGGGTAAACTGAGATGAAGTGAGAGACTGGCATGGACATATATACACTATCAAATGTAAAACAGATAGCTAGTGGGAAGCAGCCGCATAGCACAGGGAGATCAGCTCCGTGCTTTGTGTCCACCTAGAGCGGCGAGGGAGGGAGACACAAAAGGGAGGGGATATGGAGATACATGTATACGTATAGCTGATTCACTTCGTTATACAGCAGCAACTAACACAACAATGTAAAGCAATTATACTCCAATAAAGATGTTCAAAACAAAACAAAACAAAAAAAACAAAGAATGTGTGTATAAGAGTTAATTCATTATCATCAAAATAAAAACCAAAAAAATAAAAAAATAAATAAAAACTAATCAAATAAAAACCTGCCTACCCATCCTGAACAATGTAGTATAGCCACAGAAGATTTTTTACCCTTCCTTTAACTTACATCATTTCATGATGATCTGATGAAGATTCAAATATTCTCACTCTGTGCTCCAACAACATGCATTTCCTGCCTCTGCTACAAACATATATCTCCTTCTATAGTTGTTTGCTTCTTGCCTATTTCTCACAGTGCACTGTGAGCTCCTTAGGATCGTTCATCTTTATGACTTCGATATCAATCAAAATACCTGGGATTTTTAGGTACTTACACTTTAAGCAAACTACATATATATTTGCAATTCAAGCTAAAATTCAGGTAATCAAATATGTATTCATTTATAACTTGCTTGAAATTAAAATTTGGATTATCAATTATGACCTCATCAGACAGAAATGTTACAGCAGGATGAAATAAATAGTAACACATTAAGCTATTAAAAGTAAGTTAAAGTGTAAGAAAAACTAGTGTAAAGTTTTAAAGTTTAAAATGATGTTGATAGGGCTTCCCTGGTGGCGCAGTGGTTGAGAGTCCGCCTGCCGATGCAGGGGACACGGGTTCGTGCCCCGGTGCGGGAAGATCCCACATGCCGTGGAGCGGCTGGGCCCGTGAGCCATGGCCACTGGGCCTGTGCGTCCGGAGCCTGTGCTCCGCAACGGGAGAGGCCACAACAGTGAGAAGCCCACGTACAGCAAAAAAAAAAAAAAAAAAAAAAAATGTTGATACATCTATGATTTTAGATGCTATGTAAAAACAAGACAAAATAAAAATATAAACGCCATATTGTTGATAATCTTATGACTGAAAAATATAAACATATTTTAATTGTATCTTATTCAAACTATTAGCTTCCTGATTTTTTTTAAACTTCTGTGATTAAGAATGTTATGCATTTCTAGGGTAAATGAGGAACAAGTGATGCCATTTGGAGACGCAGGCCTGGGCCTTGTCATGAAGGAGCTTATAGAGTTTTCTAAGGAATTTGGATTTCTCCATGAAGGTGGTGAGAAGCTAATTAAAGCCAATTAAAGCATACGGTATTTGTTTTTCTCTTTCTGACTTACTTCACTCTGTATGACAGACTCTAGGTCCATCCACCTCACTACAAATAACTCAATTTCATTTCTTTTTATGGCTGAGTATGCTAACACATATATATGGAATCTAAGAAAAAAAAAAGGTCATGAAGAACCTAGGGGTAAGACGGGAATAAAGACACAGACCTACTAGAGAATGGACTGAGGATATGGGGAGGGGGAAGGGTAAGCTGTGACAAAGTGGCATGGACATACATACACTACCAAATGTAAAATAGATAGCTAGTGGGAAGCAGTCGCATAGCACAGGGAGATCAGCTGGGTGGTTTGTGACCACCTAGAGGGGTGGGATAGGGAGGGTGGGAGGGAGGGAGACGCAAGAGGGAAGAGATATGGGAACATATGTATATGTATAACTGATTCACTTTGTTATAAAGCAGAAACTAACACACCATTGTAAAGTAATTATACTCCAATAAAGATGTTAAAAAAAAAAGCTAATTAAAGATTTTAAGCAGGAGAGTGGCACAGTGAGATTTTTGCTTTAGGAAGACGCCACTTGCAGGAGTGGGGAGGACAGAAGGAAGGTCAGGACAGGAGCCCAGGGGACCTGGCTTTGGGAGGCTGCTGCCATCACAGAGATGGTGAGACTTGAACCCAGGCAGCCCCCGGGGACCCCCGGGGAAAAAAAGCGGAGGTGGAGACGGGGGATAATCTAGGAGGTCTGAGCAACGGGACTTGTTACCACTGACAGTTCCCGTTTCCTTGAAAAGCCTTTTAGGAATACGTTGTATGTCACTGGAAGAAGAAAAACCAACACATAAATCAACCAAAAACCCAAACTCTCAAATACCTGACCCTAAATAAAAGTAACATTAAAGAAAACATGATTAGGAGGAAAACACGGCTATCCATGACAAATTGTAGAAGCAAAAAAGACTGAAAATGTCCACTATTGCTTGCTTTTGTGCTGCCTCAAACTGTACTAAACAGATACCTTTAACGACTGATCATTGATACATGCTTCACACTTTATCAATAGATTAACTTTAAAATACCATATTGCTGTTGTATAATATCACAGGAAATTTGAAGAACAGAAAGAACACACACACCTATATGTGCATATTGGGATTTTTGTTGTATTTTTGCCGTTTATGACTACAAGGGGTTTCAAGCATGGTTTTCTTACTAACCAACAGAGGAGCTATTCTTTGTATTTCATTGAAGGTGTAATCATTTTCTGGAGCATATTGTACCTTTTCCACCTTCCTTCTTTGTAATAGCACATGTATAACAGAATTTATTAGTCCCAAATTTTTCTTTAAGGGCAGAAGTAAATTTCCAATAGTTTGCTGTCTGAAAAAAAAAGAATATTGTGCATTTGGATGATTTGTATTAAAATTTGTAAAATGCTAGGTTTGGCTGATTCTAACAGTACAGGCAAAGAACAACCAAAAGGAAGAGTTTTGTGGCTATCAGAGGTCACATTTCCATCACCTGCCAAGCCACAGATTACTTCAAAGAGCTCTGGACGATCCATACAGTCATGTGATTAGTTTATATATGAAACTTAATACCTAGAATTTCAAAAATATTTATTAATGAAAATGTAATGCAAAATGTTGTCACTTAAAAAATGTTAGCACACCATATAAAATAATATTTGGCTAATCCAGGGATAATTCATACCTGATATTACCAGCATTTTTACAAGTTTTAATTAATTTTTGGGCTTTTTTTCCCTAGCCAAGTAAACTATTAATTTAAATAATTGATTGTAATAATGAAAAACCATGCATAGCACTGATTCCTTATCTCATGATAAATTTCAGCGTTATATATCTTTAAACGTAGTATTATTATTGTTTTGCATTACATTTCTATTGCCTTTCTTCTTATCTTTTAATTACATTAGTATCATCATGATAGCAATCTTCATAATGGCGCTAATAAGCAAAATAGAAAGGTGTGATATTCAATAAAGAATAGTAAAAGTGGTGTCTGCCTTCTCTGCAAGTCAGAAAAAAATCCCTCCATTTCCATTAAAATCACTTTACTATTTACCAAAAGCAGAGGAAAATTCTGGGGCTCATTGGTAATTTAGAAAAACATCAAATAGTATAGATGATCCCCTTTCCCTAAATACACTAGAAACTATCACTCTACTTTTGTATTAAAGTTCCTAAAACTGCCCCAAAGTTATTATTTTTCTCAATTACAGACTTCAAATTGTATAATATTAATGAGTATAAACACATTATAAACAAAGATAAAATTCAGGAATAAGACATGACTGACAATTTAAAATCTTCTAATAAATATTTAATCCAATATTACATAACACCTAATTCCTCCCAACAAACAAAACCATGATATGTAATTTTATATTTTTATAACCAAATGATTACTTAAAAACTCTTAGTATAAATCTATAATTGAAAGATAAATTATAAGATAGTTTAAAGATAAACTCATGCCTAAGAGCAAGAGTTAGATTCTTATTTTGTAAAGAACATTTAGTCCTTTAGGCTTGCAAAAAAGGAACTGAAACATTTTTCAACAGTGAAATTTCTCATTAATGACCTTGCCATTATTTTATTAATATTACAAACAGATAAATGCCCCATATTAAAAAATTTAAAAATATATTTTTGTTTACAAATTCA